CCGCACGGCAAATTAAATTCTGCAAAGTAGTCAAACTTTTTTGTGTTTTGGGGACTGGAGTCAAACTTTAATTACTTATACGTGTATGTGCCAATGTTTAATCTTTATAAAACTGTAGTTTCTTGCATGCACATCCTGCCTATAGGAGCCTTCGCAGACCGCTAACGCTAAGAATCATCTTCGGCAGTGGATACGCGTTCTACTTGAAAACAGATAATCATATATAAATAAAAGTAGTTTCAGTTCAAAGTTCAAACCCTCCTAACGTAATTTTTTGAAAATAAATGTCCTTCAGATTTATGCTTGAACGCTGAGCCCCCGCATCACATTTATTCTTCGAATAAAGTCCCTCCGTTACGTTATGTTTGGCTCGACGGAGGGAAGGGGAGGGGAGGGATTTTAATCAAAGGAAGGGGAGGGGAGGAAAGGGGAGGGTAGCTACAAAGGGAAGGGGAGGGAGGGGGAAGGGAGGGGAGGGATTTTAATGATCTCTTGTTTGGATTAATTGGAGGGGAGGGGAGGGAGCAATTTTAATAATACCTTATTTTGTTCTAATAAAAAATTGACTATTTTAGCCTCATAAAATTTAAATGAATTTTCTCACTTTTTATTTTGTTAAGATATAACTATATATATATAATACAATTCACTAATTTTGATTTACAAGATACAGTCACACACTTATAGAATATCAAGACAAAAACTCACAAGTGATAGATTTCAATAAGAGAACAGACCTTGAAGGTGAAAGAAAATACCAACAGCCTCTTAGAATTAGAAGAAGAGAAAAAAAGTTTACAAATGCTTACTAATTTTGGAGATAATTATCTTAATAACCTCTTATTAGATACTCAAAAGAACTCTCTTATGTAGAAATGTTTATGACTGATTAGAAGTTAACAAATCAAAAGGGTATATAAGGAATTAAAATATCATCTCTCGTCTCCCCTCCAAAAAACCCCACTTTTGGAGGGGAGGCTAGAAGGGAAGGGAGGGGAGGGAGAAAAACCCCTCCCCTCTTTAAAAAATATCTTAACCAAACGAGGGGAGGGGAGGAGCTCCCCTCCCCTCCTAAAAAATTATACCAGCCAAACAAGGAGAGGGGCCCCTCCCCTCCGAAAACCCCGTACCAAACATAAAGTGTGAAGATAGTGCAGGTTGAAATCTATGGCGTCTGCCAAAACCGTTGCGCTATTTCTATGGGCTCTTCAGGGGCTCCTGTTAACTCTTGCAAGGTTGCAAGGGAGCCCCACACAAACAATCGTTACCGGTAAATGCACTGGCCGGAAACTTCGTTTTTGGAATTTGACCGCAGAGATGATTGTAGCTCACATTCAGTTTCTCAAGCCCAGCAACGGCGTTAGGAACCTTTCCAAACACCGAATTCTTCGCCAAATCCAAATACTTCAATGTTTTGACTATCTTTAACTTCCCCAAATCAAACCGCAGTTTATTTTCCGATGCCCGGAAGCCCACCAAATATTCTGTCCTGTTCAGCAGCCCAACCGGACTTCCCGTTATTTCGTTACCAGAAAGGTCGATATAGTCATAGAAGTAAGTCTCTACTGGCTTCCAATCTTCCAGCTTCATCTTGATCCCACATTTCGCGAGCTTCAGGGAGAAGATAATCGGGGACGAAGTGACCCATCTTGGTATTTCCTTCAAATGAAATCTGTTATCGGACAAATCAAGCGATTCAATGCCTTTCACATTCATCTGCGGAAATGGGTCCACGAGAAAATTGTTGGACAGGTCGAGATTGAAGATCTTCGTGAGGTTCCCGAAACTTCTCGGCACGGTCCCCCAGAACCGGTTGGAGGAGAGGTCGAGAGTGTCGAGTGCCTTGAACTTCCCGAGAAAATCCGGGATTTGTCCCGTGAGATAGTTGTGGCCGAGCTCAAGGTAGCTCAGCTTCGGGGCAAGCGATGATATTGAAGGAGGGATTTGACCGGAAAATTTGTTCCGGGAAAGTCTGAGAATCCTGAGGTCGGGGAAAGACGAAAAGAAGTCAGGTATTGCTCCCGTGAGTTGGTTACCTTCTAGACTCAGGAACGTGAGACTCTGGAGCCTGCGAATTCCATTGGGCACCGATCCTCGGAGAAGGTTTCCACCAAGTTTGAGCTGGGTGAGCTGTGTCAACGCTGAAATTGAAACGGGTATTGGTCCTGTAAATCTGTTCCCTGACAAACTAAGCGCGCTTAATCGGGTAAGATTGCCAATATTTTCGGGTATCCGACCAGAAAGTCTGTTGTTTTCGATGTAAATGAATTGGAGGTTGGGTAAGTGGGAAACGAAAGCGGGAAAACTGCCCGAGATATTTTTGAGATCCAGGAGGTAGATGCCATCAAGGAATCGGAGCTTTGAGAGCGAAGGCGAAATAATGCCAGACAAAAGGCTAGTGGGGACGTCGGGTTGACCGGAAAGGAAGAGACTAGTGACCCGCTTGTTGTCATTCAGGCAAGTGACACCGGTCCAAGCACAACAGTCGGTACCCGACTTCCATGAGGCGAGCAGGTTGGACGGGTCGGACGTGATTCCGGATTTGAAACCCAGCAAGCCCGATTCATCATCCGGGTGGCAAGTGGAAGCACGGACAGTGAGGCAGTGGAGGGTAGAGATAGAGAGGAGAACGAGAAGTGGCCTGGACGAGAATTGCATATTGCTTCGTTGGCAGAGAAGGAAAGGATAGTGTCTGTAGAAGAAAGGAGAAGGACTTGGATTTTATAGTTTTGAGAATGGGGAGGAGGACAGCCACAAAAGGAGGGAATGTTGCCCACTTGGGGGAGGGAAGGATAGGTTCGTGGCATGTAGTCAGACGCAGCCACCACTGCTGACTAAACCAACGTCGCCAGTTACGTTACGGATCATGGATCATTTAATGCATCCAACTCAGCTCTCAGGATTTGGTTCACAGATATGGTACATAGATAACAATGCACATTCTCCGCCTCCTTTCCTGATTATGGTTCATCTTCAGCTGGACCAGCTCACCGTTTTGGGCATCAATAGTCAAATGTCAAATTCATCTGCCTTCCCTCTAATCATGTGTCCGCCTTCCAAACATGACCATGCCATGGTGCTGCGAGTACAAATCTTCACCCGCTTTTTGGCAACCAGAAAAAATAAACTGTGTGCCGGACAGCATGGCAAATTCCAAAACTTCTTTGCCTCACAAGGACTCTGGAGTTCCAAACCAAACCTGCAAGATTGGTCTGAAGAACGTCATAACAATAAAAACGACTTGGTGTAATATCCATGAAGGATAATTACAGCAATGCCCCGAGTCTGCCTTAGATGGTCTCCCACATTTTCTGTGAAACTTGGATGACTCCCTCGCATTCTCTTCTGGCGTAGGAACAGAACGGTTTCTGTTATAGTATTCCCTATAGCCACCATATTATGGTATTCTTCATCGGTGTCAAATAAAAAACAAGAATATTCAGCTACTGTTCAATGACTCGCAACAAGTCCTGTAAATGCTAAAAATAAGTTCAGTTAAGTAGCATCTGTCTCCTTCTTGAATTCAAAATTAACTGTCTTTCACTCTAGTATAAAATATGCCAAGACTTAAAAAAATATTGAGAAACTAACCAAGTATTTTTTGATTTTTTCGTAACTCACGCCAGTCGATACAAGTAAAATAATATTTTATGATCTATTTTTTATTATACATAATTATATATATTGCCTCTAGTGCTTAATGTATTAAAAACAAGAGCCACAATAAAACTTGAACCCCACTTAAAAAAAAAACAAAGAAAATTAAATGTGATATGCAAACAAGCAGTACTACAACCCTGCAAGGCGGTGGTCCCAGCCATAGCCTTGATATTAAGGGCCTGTTTGGTTTGAGGGGAGCGAGGCAAGGTTTGATTAAAAAGGAGGGGAGGGGAGGACATTTAATGATCCCTTGTTTGGTTCAAGGAGGGGAGGGAAGGGATAGTAATAATCAATTTACCATTTTACCCTTACATATTAGTTTATATTTTTTATTGATATATTATATAAATTAATTTACATCTTAATTTAAATTATATAATTTAATAAAAATTCAGTCTTATCATGTTAATATGTGTATTAAAAAATTGGTATAGTAATTTTTTATTCTAATTAATATAATAATATATTTAAAATAATCAAATTAACAAATTTTATATGCTATAAGAAAAATGAAATTTTATTTTCTTTAGGCTATCTTTTTTTCCAGCTTTAAAATATATTTATAAAAAACAATTAATTTTATAATATTATAATTTTTTATTTTAAAATAATTTTTATAATATATTTTTAATTATAATAATGTATATATTTTTTATTTTTTTTACTTAGGATAATATATTTTTTATTTGAAATAAATATTATAATAATATATTTTATGGGTAGAAGTGGAATATTAAAAAAGTCATAAGGGCATAATGGTCCAAAATTTTGGCTCCCCTCCAAAAACTCCCAATTTGGAGGGGAGCCAAAATGAGGGGAGGAAAGGGAGGGGAGGGGACATTTTAGCTCCCCTCCCCTCCAAAATTTTTAACCAAATGAAGGGAGGGGCTCATTTTCCCTCCCTTCCCCTCTCCTCCCCTCCAACCAAACATACCCTAACAGTGAGATGTTTTGTTTTTGGTATAAAAGAGGGCCTAGGCCCAACTACAAAAAATTAAACCAGCTGGGGATCACCTCCCAAAATCCTCTCTTAGCCTAAGCATCAGCAACACTATTATACCCACGAGGAGCGCAGACCAGTTTTGCTTCCCAAGAATAATGGAGCAAGGATCTAATCTGAGTGAACAAATTGCTGCAATTCCGGATCGGAGCATCCTTTGCAAGATTATCCACTAACCACTTAGCATCAGACTCCATTAAATTGTATGGTTAAGAAGAACCATTCCGCAGGACTCGGCCCAAAGCCACGAAAGGCCCAAACTTATTAACTTACGGGCCAACTGATATTCTCTTCTCCTAAGGCGACGGTTGATCATCCCCACCGCTGCCTGAAGCAGCCGGCTCGCCTCTCGATGTTCTTTCAGTTTCATTATGCAAGTATCCCTTATAAATGCGAGGATACGGTAACAGCAGTGGAAATCCCTTGCTAGGGTTTTGAGTCACTCTGGGGCTTGGTGGAGCAAAAGGGAGCAATTCAATCAATCATACCAGCGTTTTAGTTTTATCGCTATTTTCTTCGCGAGACGGAGGTGCTTCCATGGACCGCTTGCGTCCTCGGAACAGACCCGTCTTTTTCGGATTCACCAATGCTGAGGTATAATTGTATTACTCTCGTCTCCCTTTTTTTCCTTTAAATTTTGTGTTAATGTTTGAAATTAAGCATAAGTTAAGGCAACCAATGGACTTTAGAAGAAGTCTATATTTAATTGTTGTTTGGAAATTGGTAGATACATCCGTGTCTGGAGTAAGTTTTCACCAGTAATCATTTCTTAGCGGGTCAACGTGAGTTTAATTATGTTTGTGGGATTTTAATCGCGAAGATGGCTATTCTATCATTTGCGTATATAAACACATGTAGCATTAACTATTGGCTCATTTATTCTGAGAACATCTCCATTTCAAAGTTGTATGATTCAGTGTCCTATATTGATTGATATCAAGATCAGGTCTGGGCCTATCACCTGTTAGGCATGCCTGAAGTGATTATTGTTCTGCCTTTGTTTTTTTTCCCCCTCTTTTGTTTTTTCCCTCTTTATGTAATCTTCCTTCACATACTTGATGTCCTATTTGTATCTAACTCTGTGCGTGTTTAATAAGATTCATGCGTTTCAATGAGGAGTGATTAGTAGGGAAGCAACATTGTGAGACTTATATCCCCAAAATTTGGCGAAGAGCTTCTCTCAATAAATTTGGAAGAGTTGGTTCCTGGGGGTTTGAAACTCTTGGCAAATTGGTTCCTGTCTAATGAACTTCAAAGATTTTTGATGTGGCAACATCAATAAAATAATATTAAAATCATGAAGGTGTGATAGCATTTCGATAACACTGCATAATGTTTCTACAATGCATCAGATATTGTTGTTAGTGTCGTTAAGGCTTCATGGCCTTTCTCAGCATGTAAATATGTGTCTACTTTGGGGACTTGTTTTGTTAAAATGAATTAACCTTTTGTCGCCATGGTGGACAGATTGAGAAAATGGAAAAAGCACTACAAGAAGCTGGGGAAGAATCACTGGGCAAGGAATTTTGTCAGAGACTTACTAAAAGTTTCAAGTGAGTTTCACTCTGGATGCTCTAGTGGTATAATTTTCAATATAGGTTGAATTTTCTTCTGGTAATAAAATAAGATACTTGTGTTATCCTGAGGAGTAAGCAGTTTGCATATTATCTCTGTGCAGCCGCTCCTCTGGCCGTGCTGGCAAACCTGTCATAAAATGGACTGAGGTAAATACAGTTCTCTTACATATCATGTATATCATTCCAGTTCCAATTCACATGCTTTGTGGCTTTTAGTTCAGTCATTCTTTGTAAATTTTTAATTATTGCTTTTTTCCTTTGGGGGAGGATGTTTAGATACAGAGTTGGTTTCAGACAAGGCTTCAAGGATCGCCTGAAGTCCCTAAAAATGAGTTTACTCGTACAAAAGGCCTTGAAAGTAAGGAAGGTGAGAGGTCTTGGATGCCTAAGGGATCTTTAGCATATCTCCTTCTACTGCTCAGTTTCATCTTTCTATGTAAAATTTGTTTATGTGTTGGCATATTTATCTTATTCTCTTGGTTTTTTTCACCCTTTAGGAGGTATCCGAGACCCATTAGAGTTGGAATTTGAGGCGAGGTCGTCAAAAGATGGAGCATGGTGAGCATATATGCCAGCTTATTTTGAGTTTATTTAGAAATGCGTAAATTGCTGAAGCAATGGTACTGAACCACATTTTAGCCCTCTGCCCACAGAGTTTGAACATCTAAACTAGATGCTTCTCTGCTATAAGCTAGTTCTCAATATGATGCCTTTGCCTTCTCAGATATTGTAATTTAATACTGATAGAAACTGAAGATATCGGCCGTCTCCTTTTTTGTCAAAAAAAAAAAGAAGTAGAAGAAGACTGACAATCACATGCTACGCTGATGTTGCTGAACTTAAGCCTGTGAGTATATGGTGACACATGATGCTGTCTCCCTGCAGGTATGATGTTGAGAAGTTTATTGCCCACAGATTTCTCAGCACAGGTGAAGCTGTAAGTTTTCATCATCTCCAAGTTCCATAGCATAGTACTGCCAGGGTTGATGTTGAATTTGATCATTTTAACACTCCCAACAAAAAGAGTGGAGAAGTTTCGTCTTTGATAGAGTTTTGCCCTCTGTTAAAGGAAGTCCGCGTTAGATTTATTGGATTTGGAGCTGAGGAAGACGAGTGGGTCAATATAAAAAATGCTGTAAGAGAACGCTCAGTGCCTTTAGAAAATACTGAATGTTCCAACCTAAAAGTTGGAGACCTTGTCCTCTGCTTCCAGGTGACTCAGACGTTAGCATGCTGATCATGTATAGTTTTCTACCTTTCAGTGTATTCTGCTTTCACTTGACAAAATCATTTTGATTCCAGGAGAGGAGAGATCAAGCAATTTATTATGATGCCCGTATTTTAGAGATCCAAAGAAAAATCCATGATATCAGAGGCTGCAGGTGTCTCTTCTTGATTCGGTATGATCATGACAATAGCGAGGTACGTACTATTCCTTTGTTAGCTTGTGCTAACTGGTTGGTAGGCTACTGGGTAATGCAAAATTTTGAATTTCATTTCCCCATTTCCAGGATAGAGTTCGCCTGAGGAGACTTTGCCGCAGGCCAAAATCTAAGGTTTAATTCTTGTCCGGAAAAGAGAAGAGATCCTGGGCTTATATAATATGAATTAATTTTTGAAATTCAGGCGGCGTAGCCTCAGCAGTTGGGCGTCGGCAACGGCCTGGTATACTTGGCGAGAATCAGCATGCAAGCTGAATATTTCCGTGTTTTGGCTTGTTCATATGACTTTAATTGCTGAAACATGGAATTTTGTTCACTTCTCGTTGGGCGCGAGGGTGTAGCTGCTTAAACCATCGGTTTAACTTGCGAATCAACCAACCAACGTGCTGCCTCGCGATCGTACAACTTTCACGATCTTACAGTGAGAGACAAGCTAACATGATTTACACTGTCTTGCATTGAGAGGCGGGCTCTGACATGATAAAGCTCAGTTCGTTGGCAATTTAATTAGGATGCAAATTGCAAAATTCTCTCCGATTTGTGAAACTCAATTCCAATTAAATTGTCCCACGAAATTTTTTGGTATGGGTTTCCCGCTAATATTAAACTGGGCCCATATTCGATGCTCATTGCAGCACATGTCCAGTTAAGTGGCTCGTTTAGTTCAATGATAGGATGGTAGGGTCGTACTGGAATAGTAGAAAATGGAATATAATGTAATGTTGATTGCAATATTGTGAGTTTTTATGCTATGTTATTAAGAATATTGAATATAAGTGTATTTTTAAATCAAATATAAAAACAAACTTATATTTATATCTTACTGTACGATCGTGAAAGCTGTATAGATAACCACCCTTGCTTATTATTAGATTTATAGATTATAGATAACCAAATTTTCAAAAAATTGGTTAAAGTTAATGTGAAAAAACTTATTTTTTGAAAAAACCACCCTTATGTTTAATATAAAAAATAAGTTATAGTTTTTTTAACATCAATTTTAACTAATTTAATTATGCTTCCTGCATTATTACTTGCGTATTCTTATTTTAAGCAAAAACAGACGAATGTTTTCGCCAAAATGTCCATTGGATTACCTAACAATTTTTTTGACCAAATTTTTACGATTAGTAGGGTGTGGTTTTTTCAATTTAAGTGGAGAATTGAGAACTGTGAGGCCTATGTTGGTTTCGAGGATGGAGAAAGATCCGAAGGAGAAATGGGAAGGGAAGGTATCGGCGACGCTGAGAAATGCGTTGGCGAAGCAGACATGGGAGCTGGTGAAGGACTTCTTCAACCTTCATAAATGGTTCCCCACCCTGGCGACCTGCTACGGCATCCATGGCTCCAACGGTGAGCCTGGCTGCATCCGATACTGCTCTGGCTCTTCCATCCCCTCCGACGGAGCCGATCAACGCCTCAGCTGGTCCAAGGAAAGGCTTCTGGCCATCGATCACGACGAACGCACCATCGTCTATGAAATCGTGGAGAGCAATATCGGCTTCAATTCCTACCGCTCAACTATGAAGGTGTCGCCCATGGCTGCCGACGGTCACGACGGTTCTCTGATAGAGTGGCATTTCTCCCTTGATCCTATCGACGGCTGGGTAATGCAGGATTTGATCGCCAAATACGATCTTGGCCTCCAACGCATGGCTGCCAAAATGGACCATCATATTCATTCTGCAAATTCGCCCAATGCTTAACGGCTGTTGGTTCTGCAAATCCGTGATTAAAACTGCTACTCTGTGCTTCTCGTCGTCCGACCAATAAAAATATTTTATGTCAGCTTATAATTTGGTCTTTGTTCTCTTTTATTTCTTTCCGTGTTCCAATTGTTTTCGGATTTGACCTCAAACATAACCAGTCACCCCCTTGGGCTAGGAAGTATCCGAGCGAGAGACGAGGGGTTATTTTCGGATATTAAAAGGGAACATCGTCAATCAGGGATTCCATACTATATAATTATACTACAATACAAGCTCATGCATATCTCTCTTCGTACGAATGCATTTATTAGAGTACAGTCAACAAACCCATTATGAAGATAACGTGGACACCATCCTTTTCAAACTGGACAAATTCAAGGGTTTTGGATCTCCACGGTAAGATTCTTCCCACGACCAACATCTGTCTGCCATTACCACTCCACTACTCATTTTTCTATAGATATTTTTTTTGGTGAAAAGTAAGCGCCTCTCCCATTATTGATATTCTTTCACGCATTCTTTGGGGCTCTAAGAACTTGCGTTCATACAACGAAGATAGAACAGCAGAGCCCAAAACCCCAATCCCCCCCCCCCAAAAAAAAAAAAAACTCTTCGTCCTTCTCTGTTGTTTTTACTCGTCGCGCTCTGTTCCAGAGACGAATGGCAGAGGAACCCAATTCTAAGTGGGAAGGTAAAGCCTGCGTTGAGATCCCACACACAGGCACAGAGCAAGCATGGAGTCTGTTGGAGGATTTCTGCAACCTGCACAGATTGATGCCCATAGACACGTGCTATCAAGTAGAGGGCTTTCCTGGTCAGCCTGGCCTCGTCCGGTACTGCGCTTCCACCGTTCAAGGCCAGGGGAGGCTGAGACCACCGTCAAGTGGGTCAAAGAGAAGCTGCTTGCCTTGGATCCTATCCAGCGCTGTTTGACCTACGAGGTTTCCGATAACAACATCGGATTCAAGTCATATGTGGCCACAATCAAGGTGTTGCCCATGGCCAGTGATGTTGATGTTCAAGGATGCAAGATCGAATGGTCGTTTGAGAGTGATCCGGTGGAAGGATGGGCATTTCAAGATTTGGTCTCTTATGTTGACTCCTCTCTTCACTACATGGCCACTAAGGTGCAGCAAGCATGCTCTACTAATTAGTAGTCATTAGTACGAGCTGAGGACCGCGTAAAAGTGAAGCCAACTACACGGGATTGTCTACCTGCAACCATCTCTTGATTATCGCTTTTATATGTAGTTTAATAATTTCGCCAAGACTCCTAGCTTCCTTTTTGTTGCAATTAACGTTCTCATCACTGTCAATTATCGTCTTCGAAAACTTCGGATAAAGTTGCTCAAACCCAGAAAACATAAATCTGGGCTCATCCACAAATATCAAGTTCGTGATCTCAGATGCTAAACTGCCACATGAGCAGGTCGATTTCTACTTAATATCGACATGATAAATTTGATTCCAGCTTACTTGTACGTCCATTTGATTTTCCTGGTAGTTTGGAAAGAATATAATGATACGAGTACTTACACTGTTTGTGTTATTGAAGTGGGTATAAACTTAATTGCAAATTAGTTTTTGAAGTGCAGCGTGGAGAGGCACTTTCGTCAACATTTAAAATATATATATATATATTTATATGTATAAACAACAAACAGTCACTGTTAATGCATTTATTTATGCGTCCGTAAAAGCGGTTTCTTTTTCCCAACGGATCTGTTTCCTCGTCTGTTTCGACCTCCAAAGCATAAGCAAACAAGAAAACCGCCCCACTGGCCTCATGAACGATGAAATTGAATCCCATCCCTTCACGAAAGGCAAACGAGAGGCGAACGCAGGATTACAGGATTACGAAACGTTTTTTTTTTTTTTGGACCAGGGATTACGAAACGTTACTTATAACTTCACTAAATAAATACAACTTTCCTGACGTAACAAACAATCACACATATATGGCATCCAACATGAAATGAATTACCTATCTGCCTCCTACAAACCATTTTTCCCGAGAGCCCTGCTGAGTGGTGGTTACCAAACTCAACGTCTCTTTTAATCCCACTTCCAATTATTCCCCAGTACTAATCAACATTTTCATAAGTTATTTAATCTCTCTTCCATCCAATTAATGATGTCCTGGGCTATCTCTTCACGCTCAGGTTCAAACAGAAGGTCGTGCAAGAAGCCATCGTAAAGTTTGATTTCTTTGAACCGAGAAGCTGCCTCGTTGTACAGCTCTCGCGAGGCAAGCGGATCAGTCACCTTATCAGCAGTTCCGTGGAGAACAAAGAATGGTACTGTCACAGATTTTAGGTTCCGCATTAAGTAGGAAGAGATACGCAATATTTCATGCCCTGTTCGGACCCTTATGGGTCCTGTGTAGACCAAAGGATCAGAGTACTTGGCCAACAATGCTGCTGGATCCCTGGAAACTGGAATCCCCCTTTTGTTTGCTCCTTTAAATTGCAATTTTGGAGCAACCAGGGAAAAAACTGGGGCAACAGCCTGCATGAATCCGGAAAACTGATGATGATGAAAAGCAAAAACACGTTATAGAGCACATAACACATTTTAATGCAATAATATTAAGGTTTTCAACCCTTCTCTTTCCCATGTACCACGTTCAATTGGGGTCATACAAAAAAAACAAATTTCAAAGCATAAGACTAAGGAAATAAGTTTCAACTATAACATCGTTCTGGCTAAGAGTTTGAAACGGAAAACTTGACACGCAGAGAGCATGTTTAGGGAATTCTATCTATACAAGCATAGTGATTATAAAACCAAGAGAACGAGAAGTACTCAGAGAGAATTCATCAATCATCATGTCCATTTTTGACCTCCATCTCTATATGTCTATATCCATGTACAGAAAGGAAATAACAAGAGCATTCACCACGCCTATTTTTGACACCCTTTTCCATTTCTTTAAAAAATTTTACACGTACTACACTAAGAAGTTACTTGGTACGATATCAAAGTAAGCTTACCCGAACAATAGGATGAGCTGGCTTAACACGCAAAGCTGGTGAAGTCAATACAATTCCTCCCACCATCTCTTCAATCTGAGGGCAGGAAGCCGCCTAAACAAAAAGTACATGACCTTTCAAATTTAAAAAGAAAAAAAAGAAAGAAATAAATTCATGGAGATTTTCAGAAGATAAACAGTTCTTTACCTTCAAAACCACAGCTCCTCCAGTGGAGTGACCAAAGAGAAAGCATGGCACCCCAGGATTGTCCAACTTTATCTTCTCCAAGAATGCCCCCTGTTTACATTATCGCTGTTCACTATCAAAATGATCAAGCAACAAAGTTGAACCTGAATGAAGAACTTTGTCCATGTCCAGGCATGCTCAAATTAAAAGAGAAACAAGAGATAGTGACAACTTCCATTGACACCGGTGAAAATTAGATTCAATCTTATGCAATCAAATAGCTCTTTTTACAATGTATTTTATGTAAATATTTATCATTCAGTCCAAAGCTTTAATCATAAATATCGTGCCCGTAAAATTTCACAGCAATTTGAGATTCTGTCCTTCATCAATGTAATATTGATTAAAGACAGAAGACATTTCAAATATGATAAACTATATACTATCCAATAATTAATTACATAATTATTCTTGGCTAACTTTTACAATATCACTTACACAATCGACATGGTAGTTGCTTTATGTTCTAATGGTTGGATTGATGAAAATTGCATTCTACAGTTAGGTTATCTAATGGTGTAATCTCATACTGTATTATAACCAAATGTTGTACTGCTGTCCATCATTCCAAACATTGACGTGAAACCTTCAACATGGATATCTAAATATAAATTTATTTTAACAAGTAAAGTAAATACTGCAAGGCACCAGAGAAAAATAACAATTATAGAAAGAACACTTCTTAAAGTTTTGTTAATAAAGACAGCAGGAAATGCAGTCAAACATACTATGTCTGCAGCAACATGATCAAGTGATGGAACATAACCATGCAATCCATCGCTCCCTCCGTGACCTGTAAAAAGAAAGCATAAGTGTAAACCTTCAGACAAGAGAATGGCAGAAAAAGTCCAGAAAAAAACTTTATCCTTGCTCATAAATAGGACGAAAAATAAACATCGCAAAGAAGGGGGTGTATCCATTCCTATTACTACATTATCCAAGAACACGAGGTTAATTCTTATTTCAACAAGATAGAGATATATTAGAGAACAGGAAAGTGTTATGTAGCAATGACACGGACAGAATTAAAAACCAGTCTTAAAGATAGTAATTACCTATCCAGTCCATTGCATAGACACCAAAGTTGCACGATGTCAGTTGCCTTGCAAAATCAGCATATCTTCCACTGACAAATGAACACAGAGTCAGATAAAAGTTATCCATAATTTTTATATGCTCCAAAAACTAAAAACAAGGGCAATCAAATTTTTTTGTGGGGGGGGGGGGGTTTGATTTTGCCAACAAGCATAGGCGAATCTAATTGCAGCGATGATGAACTGAAATAATAAAATCTGCCTCATCCCTCAAGCAGAAATAATCGTCATTAACTTCAACATAATGAAGTTTCTGTAAGTTGATCAAATTAAGCTTACCTGTGTTCATTAAGCCCGTGAATGATTACGAGAATTCCCCTAAAAAAACAAAAGAAGATAAATTATTAGATAATGTAAAACAGAGCAGCAGAACAAAGGCAGCCATGGGGGACGGAAAGCTATACTAGTACATGACAATCAGAAAAGATCTAGGATATGAAAACCAGGGGAAAAATTCAAGAAGCCAGAACTTAATATCATCATCTGAAAATGCCTCTTCAACTAATCGAGAAAAGGAAAAATAGCATCTCGACACAATTGACATCACAACTACTTTATATTAACAAGAAGACGACAATTACATTCCATGAAGCTTAGGTTTGTATTACACTGTTGCTTGATAGTTGTCCAATAGGACGCTCCCAAAATAGAGATCGAAGAACAGCACGCAATCCACATAGAGATTATAGAGCCACATAATTTGAAAGTTGGGAGAGCCGACTTAGCATTTCTCTAAAAGAGGGTTATCGTTTCAATCACTTTCATTCACATTCAC